GAGCTGAACAAAGTTTACAGAAGAGACAGCAAAATGATGGTGAATGTACGAAGCTTAGGTTCTGGCGCCTCACTGCTGCACCGTTTAAGGTGGAATGACGAATTCCAATATGACACTGGTGAATATCAAGTCAACTTCAGCCTCATGGTGCACTTGTTTCAACTGCAGAAGCTGTTACAATTGGTTAGTGTTTCTTTTGTTTTGTTATCATGAGGAACATGGTCATTTCGCCTGGTGAATTTCTCCTGTAAGAGTTTTTAAGCGCTGAGCAATAATTTACTGATACTATTGATGTTTTGCTTGTTTCCAGCTTATGGAGGTGAACTTGAACTCTAAACCCGTATTCCGAAATAAAATAAGCCGAGTATAAGCACAGTGACAGACATTTGACTGTTGCTGTTTATTCAATTTACGATTCCATTCACATTAAAAAGTAACTGACAGTGTACCAGTCTTTCTGAGTCCTGGCGCTCAAGTCGAAGTCAAAGTCCGAGTCAGTGGTGTTCGAGTCAAAGTTGAGTTGCAAGTCTTTTTTGATTTCAAGTCGAGTCTCAAGTCATCAAATTCGTGACGAGTCCTAGGCATATGACTCAAGTCCACACCTCTGCTAATATGCATCTCTTGTAAGTACACAGTGTCCGCAAAGAGAGACCTAAGACGAGAGCATACTTTGTTCTCTGCATCCAGCTGCTGCCAAGTCGGCTCTAACTTGACTAGCCGGTTTTCGTGTTCATTCTTGGTTAGCTCCATGTCAGCAGTCTAACTGCCATCATCATTGAGAATTGTCTGTGTATACATTTCCACCATGGGTCAAGGTCCCATCCATTCACGGTCACGCTTGGGAGATCGGCCCCTCCAGTGGCATGAAGTAAACACCCAGTCTCTCCGCTGGCTGCAGCTCCCGGCTCTTGATCTGCCACACATAGTTTCGCTTTTTCTGTTATCTCTTGCATTGTCGAGGCTGGCAAGGCAGGGCTCCAGACTAACTTTTTCACTGGTCACACTAGTGCTACCAAATTTCTCTGTTGGTCGCACCAGCACATGATTTGCTCACACTCTTTTTTTATGGTACAGTTATTAATCTTTGAATGCTGATGAATAGTAGCATAGCCTAGTCTTACATTGATGTAAAGACTGACAGTGACTCTAGACAGTAAATTATAATCAAATAAAAGCAAAGCATAAAGTAAAACATGCCTGCACCTGCACTCTCCCTGCAGCCTGGACCCTCATCATCAGTTATGTCTGAGCTGAGACCTCTTGTTGGCTCTTCTTCTCCACATGAAGGCAGTGCAAAGTGGAAGCAGAGAGAAGTGACTTTGATCAGTGTGAAGTGACTTTTTAGAAAGTCAGTGTTCTCTCTCACTCTGAAATTGCTCAGTGTTGCTAGATTCCATGAGTCAGACAGTCCTTTTTTTACACACGACTACTTCTGTGTGACTTGAGTGATGCGGCACTGACTCTACAGTTCACACATCACGGCACTGATCGCAGCAAAGCACTACAGATATTGCATGCAGTCTGTCTTGTTTCTTCCATTTTGCTGTGGGACTGATAAAGAGGATTGTGATAAAAGCACTTCCATTTGCTTACCCTGAGCAGTTTTCTAGATTATTAGTTGTATTATTATAGCTGATTAGTCTCTTGCTTCAAGCCTAACCCTCCTGAAAAAAGCCTGTGTAGCATGGAATGTTGAACTAGTTTTCCATTTAATAATGGCCATAAATTGTGTAATTCATTAAAGTGTGTAGTGTCTTGTCAGTACATTCAGGACATTAAATGAATATCATAAGAGTTAGTTATATTGAGCTGACACGGAGAGCAAGGAGTGAGCGTGGAGAGCGAAATAGAAAACCCGGAGTAGAGGTAGAGCAGAATGATTACAGTAACGCTTTGAGCTAGAAGCGGAAATGTCTGCCTCTCCACTCCACTCACATGCGCTGCTTTCCACCAGCCTCCTCTTCTCTTTCCACATTTTGTATTTTAAAATGGTCAGCACAGACTGCTTCAAAGGCCACAACACCAGGGAGCCTTGACTCTCTTCCTTGGCTCTGCTGCTAGCTGCTGGAACCGGCTTCACTTGTGTCGTCTCCAAGCCTGACGTGTCCTTCTTGAGGCCGAGCACAACCACAGCCGCCATAAGGAAGTCCAAACTCGAGTATGCATGCATCCTGCATAGGCACAAGGCAGAAGTTATGAACTTGGCTCAGGGCCCCCACCACAAACGGAAGCCACCTTCTTCCTCATGTCACCTCAGCTGCTGGTGACTGACTTGAGTTGGACATTGGTCACTTTCCAGTTGGCAGGTGTGCCACTGTTGGTGTAAAGGAGCATGGCTGGCTTCCATCACACTATATTAGTTCAATTGGTGAGGCATCAAGCATAAATATAGACTCCAAGAGCAGAACTTGCCCAGAAATTGCTGTTTGACACATTATCTCTTTTGCCCATTGCTTAATATAAAAAAAAAATAATAATAAAACCCTCTTTCAGTTCTATACACTATATTGCCAAAAGTATTCGCTCGTCTGCCTTCACACGCATATGAACTTGAGTGACATCCCATTCTTAATCCATAGGGTTTAATATGATGTCAGCCCACCCTTTGCAGCTATAACAGCTTCAACTGTTCTGGGAAGGCTTTCCACAAGGTTTAGGAGTGTGTTTATGGGAATTTTTGACCATTCTTCCAGAAGCGCAATGTGGGGTCAGACACTGATGTTGGACGAGAAGGCCTGGCTCGCAGTCTCCACTCTAATTTATCCCAAAGGTGTTTTATCGGGTTGAGATCAGGACTCTGTGCCGGCCAGTCAAGTTCTTCCACACCAAACTCGCTCATCCATGTCTTTATGGACCATGCTTTGTGCACAGGTGTGCGGTCATGTTGGAAAAGGAAGGGGACATCCCCAAACTGTTCCCACAAAGTTGGGAGCATGAAATTGTCCAAAATCTCTTGGTATGCTAAAGCATTAAGAGTTCCTTTCACTGGGACTAAGGGGCTGAGCCCAACTCCTGAAAAGCAACACCACACCATAATCCCCCCTCCACCAAACTTTACACTTCAGATAAGTACCATTCTCCTGGCAACCGCCAAACCCAGACTCGTCCATCAGATTGCCAGACAGAGAAGCATGATTGCATTCGACTGTATGACTGCATTCGACACTTTGCATTGCGCTTGGTGATGTAAGGCTTGGATGCAGCTGCTCGGCCATGGAAACCTATTCCATGAAGTTCGCTACGCACTGTTCTTGAGCTAATCTGAAGGCCACATGAAGTTTGGAGATCTGTAGCGATTGCCTCTGCAGAAAGTTGGCGACCTTTGCGCACTATGTGCCTCAGCATCCACTGACCCCGCTCTGTCATTTACGTGACCTACCACTTCATGGCGAAGTTACTGTCGTTCCCAATCGCTTCCACTTTGTTATAATACCAGTGACAGTTGACTGTGGAATATTTAGTAACGAGGAAATTTCACAACTGGACTTGTTGCACAGGTGGCATCCTATCACCGTACCACGCTGAAATTCACTGAGCTCCAGAGAGCGACCCATTCTTTCACAAATGTTTGTAGAAGCAGTCTGCATGTCTAGGTGCTTGGTTTTATACACCTGTGGCCATGGAAGTGATGGGTGAGTGAATACTTTTGGCAAAATAGTGTATGTCTGCATTGGTAAATTTGCTGGTTTGCTCTGTTGGTTTGCTAGTTAGCACACAAACCAGCAAATTTACCAATGCATAAATAGCAACAACAAAAAAGACAAATCACCACACACAAAACAAATATTTACGAAGTTTGTGAATGCCACACTCCGACTTCTTCAACAAAATGGTTTGTTTGTGTACCTTATGGAGGCTAAGCCTCGCTGATGACAAGTTCATTCATATTGAAGAAACTGCTCTTTATTTGCCACTGTAAAATCATTTGTGATCCCAGGAACCCAACCATGACTTTGGGAAGCTTTCATAGGTTTTGTTAATTAATAATATTAAGATATGGTATATGATTTAAAGAGCTGAGGTACTATTGAGCCTTCGATACATTGGACCCTGGGAATATAGGACCCTCGGGACCTAGGTGCACTCCTCAAATTATTAGCTAGCTAATCTATATAATTATGAAATTGATCTCTGGATTAAGAATTCTGTACACAGATCTGATTTCTTAGATTACCTGTATTGCCTGTAAGGGTACATTTAAACATTTAATTGCAGAAATGCTAAGGTTGACTGCAGTGAAACAATGGCAGGGAAACAGAGAGAAATATACCACACACATACACACACAGCTATAGACTGTCTATAGGCTGTCTAAATTCAATTAGAATTTTCAATTTTCAAATTTAATGAAAAAACTTACATTTGGTTTTAGAACATGCCCATTTGATTTTTTAAGGTCGTCTCTTCTGCAGCTCCTAGTATCTATTAAATCAGGAATTTGACTCTACTGGAGTTGGTAGCAACAGATTACCAAATGCATGGAAGAACATGCCGCTGACCATAATAAGAAAAACAACAATTTATTTTGGCTGTAATTAGAGTTTTAAATGTATAGAAATATTTGCAAACATCCAGCAGATCTTTATCAACTTGTAACACAACAGATTTGTCATATTAGTCATATACAATGTTTTGTCATATACATGTAGTACATTTCTCCTGTAAATAAAATAATACGTGCACTATCCTAATAGTACCAAATTCTCATACTGATATTTCACTATAGATTTATACCATAAAATTAGCCTGTTTTAAATGCTTATTTTTTCTTCATACTTCTCATATGACTACAGTTTCAGACATATATATTTGCCAGTTACTTTCAGATATTTAAAAATGAAATCATCTCAAAACTACTGAACATAAATGGAACCTTATAATTCTAAGCCTATGACTGTTTAAATCTATTATTTTCATGTGTATTTTATTTTTTAAATGGTCAAATTTTAAGATTAAATAATAGATTTAAAATAGTGATGATAAAATATTCTTTTTCTCAGAAACCAGGAAAATGGTGTGCCATGCATGTTCATATTGCCTGGCAAATCTATCATCACCAACAGAAAGGAAAGGTGAGTATGAAGATGAGACCACGGATACCTACACACACATTTTAGACATTTATGTCTCTGCAGCATATGCTTCCCTGGGGTTAAAAAGTAAAGAGAAACTAATGTTTGAAAGTGAAACTAAAAGCATGGGTACCGTGTCAAAATCCCACTCAATATAGTGTATGTCTGCTTTGGTAAATTTGCTAGTTTGCTCTGTTGGTTTGCTAGTTAGCACACTAAGGGCTACATAAATAGCAACAACAAAAAAGAGAAATCACCACACACAAAACAAATATTTACGAAGTTTGTGAATGCCACATTCCGACTTCTCCAACAAAATCTCTCTGCACATATGCTTCCCAGGGGTTAAAAAGTAAAGAGAAACTAATGTTTGAAAGTGAAACTAAAAGCATGGGTACCATGTCAAAGTCTCACTCAATTAGATGTAGAAGTTTGGAGCCAAAATATACTTGAGTCAAAGTGAAAAAGTATCTACAATTGAACATACTCAAGTATATAAAAGTGAAAAGTAAAAGTTTTTACAAATAAAATGAACATGCATTGTCTATGCTTTAGTCGATGCATCGACTAATGGGCAGATGTAATCCTTGCACAAATATTAATTATAATACTTTTTATTACTGATTTTAATCATTTGTAGTAACAATTTCCTGATTATTTTGATGTGAATTTGGTTGGACATTTTAAATGAAAAAATAAAATGAACTCGACAGATTGGCAAGAGAAAAGGAAAAATCTTTGAAATTAGTAACGAGTACTTTGAAGGTTTGTGTTTTTATTTTCTCTTAGAAATGTAATTGATCTAATCTAAGAAGGCGAGTATTAAATTCTACCCTGATGGTTCCCCACAAGGTCTTTAACAGTTTCCTTACATTGTAGGCATTGACTGGTTTAAAGCACAGTGCTTTTCTTGTGTCTTATTGCTGTGGACCACTGCTTGTGTTGTTTTATTTTTTTTCTTCAAGTTAACATGAGTTCCGGACTTTATACAGTCTACTGTAACTGCTCTTAGCCATATATTTATATTTATTTGCAAGTCATAAGTGATGATATTATGGGAGGCAAATCCAGCCAAAAAAGAAATTAAAATTAAAACCATAAAATGTAAATGCAAACCTCTTTTTGCCATTTCTTTTTCCAAACATCTGTGCAAATATCCTGCCAAAATTGAAAATGAAATGACTTTTCATTTTCCATTTTTCGATTTCGTTTTCAAACTGACCAACATGCAAATATATGTTAATTAGCTCTAGGCGCTGATGTTTGTTTGCATTTGACTTTTCGTTCTGACACCTAAAGCGCGTCCATGCCGAAAACTGAATCACAAACTGTCACTTTGCTGTTGATTTATCAGTTTTGCATTTTCCTTTTCATTTTGTCAGATCTGCAGCCGATTGCTGTGAAAAAGAAATAAGAACGTGAACACTGCATTTTGATTTTAGTTTTGACACGTATTCTGCATTTCATGAAGAAAAGCCAAAGCCAAAGTGAAGCTTGGATTTTCTTTTCTCTATTAGCTTTTTCATTTTAGATTTGGCCATGAAAAACCAGAATAACAACTAAAATGAAATGACAAATAGCTGTTTTGCATTTATTTTTATTTTTGTCACAAATGGCTCATGCTCATGTGAAAAATGAAATTGCAAATGTAGACATTTCATTTCATTTTAAATTTTGGCAGGATATTTGCGCAGATGTTTGGAAAAAAATGGCAAAAAGAGGTTTGCATTTTCATTTTATGGTTTTAATTTTAATTTCTTTTTTGGCTGGATTTGCCTCCTATAATGATATACAGTGAAAATTTCATATTGAACACGTGCAATGTTACGCATGTTGTCTGTTACTTAAAATGTAATCAAGTATGAGCAGTTAGAGAAACAAAGCTGTTGGATTGGAAATAATGTAATAAAAGCATAACAAAATGCAACTTCTTTATGTTGCTCTACTCTGTCTGACATCTTTCAGCAGCAGATGCAGGTTGATCCACATAAGCTGGACTTTGGTCTTAAACCAGAATTCCTGAGTCGGCCACCAGGTCCCAATCTGTTTGGTGCAATCCATCACCCCCACGACTTGGCACGACCTGCCACACTTTTCTCAGCAGCAGGCGAGTGTGTTTCAACATAGCATTTAGATATCATACATGTGCAGTTATTTTAATTCATGCATACTTGTGGCACATGCTAAATGGGCTTAAGAACTGCACTAAGATCATCCATTTATATTTAGGTGACTTAGTAATATTGCATCTCTTCTGAACACTTCCACAATAAACAGTCAATCATTTGAGCATTACTTTTAATGGGTATTTTGTCACTAAACATTGAGACATAAAGCTTTTGATGTCAGTTTTGTGTGCCTGTATACTGCCACTCCAAAGTGCTTTAATGCATTCTTAAGCATAACCTCTGATTTGTTAGATAAAACATTAGAAATGTCCACAGGGACAATTTCTTTAGTACTGCTTTACACAAAGAGCATCTTGTACCTTTGTCAGACTTTTGACTTCTTTTAAGAGAAAAGAAACGCTACTTTGATCAGCAAGAATTGGTTTCCTCAAAGTTGAATTATTATTGTTGTTGTTGATGATGATGATAATAATGATGATGATGAAGATGAACTAACCACCATTTTTAATCTAGTTGTCACAAACTCTACATAGGTATGACTATTGTCAATATATTCATCTGTCAACTAATTCAACTAATTGTAAATGCTGTTTTAATTGTAATTGTGTTGCTACGTATTTAGGAAATTCTGAAAAGGAAAAAGAAATACTAATGTGATTTTTTTTGTTACCTTCCATATCTAAGGTTCCACACATCCCTCAGCAGCACCTTTTGGACACCCCTCACATCACCCTAGCAACTTCCTCACACCTGCACCCCACTTAGGTAAGGCATCCTCTCCACTAGCTGTAACTGCATAGTTCGTCACTGTATGATATTGTGTAATATGATCGTGTATATTGATATCTCATGTCTGTGGGCCTTATTCAGAGTTGACTTACGCATGCGTAGTGAGGAGATAATATCGAAATTGCACGCAACAGTATTTCGTTTTTTTAGGCAAATCTATGGCTGAAGCGCTACTCAAACACGTTCAGAGTTTGCAAACAACACGACAAAGGAGGTAATGTCTCAATTATCCTCAGTTTTCACTTAAGAGCATCTCTGCTGCGTGATATCCACTACGTTCAAGAACTGTATTAAGTACAGCTCCTCTGTCTGACCATTTGTGGTATATATTTTAAACTTAAAATTCATGTCTTAGGGTGATGTAAAATATAATAAAGAAAATATTAGGGCAATATTAAGTACAAATAATCATATTAATGAATACATACTTTGTCTAAACAAACAAATAAAATGCATAAAATAAAATACTGACATTTTGCTGAAATGTTTCAATATTGATGAAACCCAAATCATTATCATAAAATGTCATTATTATTATTTTCAAGGTAACTTTAAAAAAAAATATTTCATGACATTTTTTAATACTATTTAAAATGATGAATCTAAATAAATGTATTCATCAGCCTATAGAACTGTTGATTATGATGGACATTTCCTACATTTGTAGGACTACAGCAATACAACAGTTTTGCATTTTGGGAATTTCATAGAAATTACTTACAGCCTGACAGGTCATATCATGGATTTCTATGAAAAACACATTCAAGCAAAAACATTATTTATTTCAGAAACCAAGCAAAATGTTAAAGTTTGCTCCAATTATCTTTTTTAGTTTGGGTTTAGTTGAGCTCTAAACCATCCTAAGTGCTCTTAAATACTGAACTGAATAAAAACAGTTACATTGCTTATTTTTAGTTTGAACTGAAACCATATTATAGTGTAAATACAAAACTGAGAATAAAATTTCAATAAAATTAAATAATAAATAATACATTTCATAAATATGATATAATAAATATAAATATGATGTGAAATACAAGTCCTGGCTGCCTAGTCTTCCTTAAATATTTTCAAATATATTGCATTTGTATATGATGTTTAAAAATGCTAGGTTATTTATTTTTTTTTATCTCATTTGGATGTATCGTGTGCTTTTAGGCTACATCGTAATGCAACTAATGACATATTTCATCCACAAAGTGTGATCTGTCTTATCATTCCACATTTTCTGCTTCCAGATTTCTTTAGTTTTTAGTTTTAAGTGCTGGTTTTAATGTGATGCTCTACACAAGAAAAACCTGGCAACATTGGAGGCATGAACTGCATGCTGACAGTTTCAAAAATCTAAATTCGACACCTAGAAAGTCAACTTAAGCACCCGTGCAGCAGCAGTCTGTATACGATAACTTGCAACTATTAACATAACTATTAATTTTTCATCGGTCGACTTAAGTCACCAACTCTGAATACGGCCCTATATGAATAGCAATCTTAAATGTATAGCAAGTAAGTCGGAAACTTACATATAGCACTGGCATTTGATTGTGCACACAGAGCTTGTATAATCCCCATAAAAACACTGTTAAAGGATGAGATGCTGTGGAGCTGCCACACATGAATCTTAGGTCACCATGCCCAACGCTAAGCCTCAGCTAGAGGGGTATTATGCACCCAAAAACAGTGTGGAGCAATTGAATTGCATTCTCTGGAGTATTTAAGATAACATAAGACAAGATAATCTTAGATAGTCTCCCACCGCCTGCACTGGGTCTAGGGGGCTTCCCAGGACAGAGCTGGCCCTCTTAATGAGTCTGTCAAGTCTCTTCCTGTCTGCAGTTGAGATGCTGCTACCCCAGCAGACAACTCCATAAAAGATGGCTGATGCCACATCGGTGTCGAAGAAGGTCCTCCGGAGTGCCCCCTGCACTCCAAACGACCTCAGTCTCCTAAGCAGGTAGAGTCTGCTCTGGCCTTTCCTATAAAGTGCACTAGTGTTATCTGACCAGTCCAGTCTATTGTTGAGTCCACTGGTGGAGGGAGGTGACTGCGTCTGCGAAAATCCACCACCATCTCTTTGGTCTTCCTTGCATTGATCAGGAGGTGGTTCCTCAGACACCAGTCCACAAAGTCCTGGGTCAGTTCTCTGCACTCTGTCATCCTCATCTGTAATGAGTCCGATGATTGCTGAGTCATCAGAGAACTTCTGTAGATGCAAGTTTGGTGAGCTGTACATGAAGTCTGCAGTGTACAGGGTGAAGAGGAACAGTGCCAGGACTGTTCCCCTCGGGGCCCCTGTGCTGCTAAACACAATGTCAGACACACAGTCCCGTGCCCTCACATACTGTGGTCAGTTGGTGAGATAGTCCAGAATCCAATTTGATAGGTGGTTCTCCAGCTTGTCCCTCAGGAGCATAGGCTGTATGGTGTTAAAAGCACTGGAGAAATCAAAGAATATGATTTTCACAGTTGTCCCTGGCTTCTCCAGGTGAGAAAGAGCTCTGTGTAGGAGGTAGATGACCACGTCATCCACTCCAATGCCAGGTTGATAGGCAAACTGGAGTGGGTTCATAGAGGGCGGAGATGCACAAGGACCAGCCTCTCTAGCATCTTCATCAGGTGTGACGTCAGTGCCACTGGCCTGTGGCTGCTGAGGTCCTTCGGTTGCTGCGTCTTTGGCACTGGTCCCACACAAGATGTTTTCCACAGTTGTGGTACCCTCCCAAGCTTCAGGCTCATGTTCAACTATCCCACACAGTTGATATGCGCAGGACTTTAGGAGCCTGGCGCTGATGACATCTGGACCAGCAGCTTTCCTCACTTTGATCTTTCTGAGCTCCTTTCTCACCTGGCCTGTTGTGAGGCACAGATTGGAGCAGCGGGGCTGGGTGCTGGAGTGTGCGGCTAGTTGGGTTGAGCTGACAGCAGGGACAGTGAGGTGAGAGTTGTGAAGAGGGGGGTAATTGTGGGAGAGGGGTTAGGGCAGTGCCCTGAGACCCCAGAAGAGGGGGGTTGCAGCAGGGGTAACTGTGTTGGGTGAGGTGAGTGATCAAATCTATTGAAATACATATTGAGATCGTTCACCCACTTTTGGTCTCCCACAGCTTGGGGGTCGGGTTTCTTGTGCTCGGAGATTGTTTTAGTCTTTTCCAGACCCCACTGACGTTGTTATTCTGCAGCTGTTCCTCCATCTTCTTTCTGTATCTGGCTTTTCCCTCCCTGATTTTCCTTCTCAGTTTCCTCTACACAGCTCTCAATTCCTCCTTGTCACCTGATCTAAAGGCCCTCTTTTTCTCCTTCAGGAGAGTTAATCAATGGTTTGTTGTTGGAGAAACACTGAACAGTCTTGGTGGGTACACTGTTTTCCACACAAAAATTGATGTAGTCAGTTATGCAGTGTGTGAGACTGTTAGTGTCCTCCCCATAAGGATCACACAGTTTCTCCCACGGAGTTGGTTCAAAACAGTCTTTCAAAACCTCTTCAGTCTCCCCAGACCATTTCTTCACTGTGCGGGTGACAGCTGGCTCCCAGCTGTGGTTTGTACCAAGGCAGGAGATGAGCCAGGTTATGATCTGATCTTTCAAGGGGAGGAAGGGGTGATGAGTTATATGCCTCCTCGGTTTTGGCCTAAAACATATTCAGTATTTTATTGTCTTTGGTGTGACATGTTACATACTATGTGAAGTTCATCAGAATGGAGGATGGAGAAACATGGTTAAAGTCCCCAGAGATCAGCCTGTGGGTGCTGTGTTTGCAGCCTGCTCACAGCTGTGTGCAGAGCATCACAGGCAGCATCAGCGTTAGCGGAGGGGGGAACGTACGCAGCTATCGTGATAACGTGCAGTAACTCCCTCAGTACGTAGAACGGCCTCATGCTAACGGCTAACAGTTCAATGTCCTTACAGCAGATTTGCTCCTTAATAGTGATGTGCCCAGAGTTACACCATCTATCATTCACAAATACTGCCAGCCCCCCTCTTACCGCTCTCCGATGTCCTGTCCACCCGTATGAGCTGAAAGCCATCCAAAGTGACTACTGTGTCTGGAGTTAGCATAGTTAGCCATGACTCCGTAAACAGCATGACGCTACACTCGCGGTACTCCCTCTGATGTGGGATAAGCTTGTCCATCTTATTGGGAAGTGATTTTACATTTCCCTTGACAACTGAAGGAAGAGCAGGTCTATAGCGTCTCCTTCTGGTACAACACATAGCTCCGGCACGACTCCCCCGTCTCTTCCTCTTCAGCTCGCAGGGGATATCGGGTCTCTCATCCGGCAGCACTGCTGTGTTGCATAGCGCTAACAGCTGATCCTTATTGTAAACAATAGGGCTCTGTACGGGAACTCCAGACGCAGACATAAACAGAGAAAAAAGTAGAGCGAGGACCATGACAAACTCTACAAGTTTGGTGTCCATTGTGAAAAAAACCTTTGGCAAACAATCAAAAGTGTAGATACTTAAAAAGGAGAAAACTACAGAAAGTAATAAAAAAGCTCAAAGTGAGCTAGAACTGCTGCAACAGGCTGCAACAGGCCATCTCAGTATTTTTTTGAGTACTATTGAATACCTTTGGATGAGTTGGAGTGCTGCTCATACAACATCACTTGACCTCGCAAATGTTCTTGTGGCTGAATGATCAAATCCTCACATCAGTGTTCCAACAATTAATTTAAAGCCCTTCCAGCAGGTAGTGGCTGTTATTCCAGCAATGGCAGACTCCCTTTTAAAGAAGAATTACACAGATTTCTAAAGTAAAAAAAATAATTAGACTGTTTTGGTGTAAAGGGTGCATTGTAGAGAAATGTACTTACTCATTTACTGACTTCCATGCAATAGAGTTGATAGGAATCACGGATTGCAATGTTTACAAAGCAAATATTGGTGTTTTTACTATCCAAAAATCAGTGAACCTCTAAGTTGTCTCCACGTTTTTAAATATAATGCTGATAATGGTAACATAATGGAAAATCCAAAATAATACATTCTTTGGGTATTATTTTGCCTTATGATGCCTGTCATGTGCCTCTCTGTCCTGTATGTTTTTTTTTTTTAATATTTTTAAAAATCTATTTTATGTTAAAACCATGTCTCAAAACTAATTGTGGAAGGCACCAGGTTATAACGTTCTGTGAGTCAACTTTTAGAGATATTGCTTTAGATGTCTGGTTCTTATCACCACGTATGTGAAACATTCTGCCTGAGTTCTCTAGAATGGTGCATCAAACTAATTTGTATTAATTTGTTTACACCTTAACAATTTATGTAATCTATATGCTGTCCTTTGTAGATTTTTTTGTTGAATTCTGTATGTTTCTACAGAGCCTTTCAACAGACCAGCATCATTTGGAGGTCTGGGAGCATTAAGCACTACAGCCTTCGGTGGCCTGGGAAACCCAGCACTTAGTGAGTGTCATATACTTTAATCAAGCAGTAAATCAGTAATCAGTCAAAACAAGTAAGCAACCACATAATTAGCTACTAAAACCAATATGTAGTAGTTGTTTTTTTGTTGTAGTTTTTTTATTTGGTTGGTTGGTTGGCTGGTTTTGTTTTTTTACGAACATGACCACTAGGGAATCTCACAGGACAGCATAGGTACAGAGCAAATAATACAACAGTGTAAACTAAGAGCAGTGTACAAAACGAAACGCAGAAACACACTTTTTGCTGCAAAGTAATCCAGTTTGTGATTTCTAACAAATGTAAGTGTGGGCTAAACAATAATCAGATGCTGAAATGCACTGAAATCATTATCAGGTGCAACCAGGGTGGCCCCAGGCCTCGTAATTATAAATCAGTCTCATTAATTAATTTGTCTCATAAATGAATAAATCAGCATAGTTTATATAATCAGATTTTAAATATCACAATCTGTAATTTACTAAAGAAAGGAATATTTTCTAGATACAGGAATATTTCCTAGATACTAGATACATTTTACCCCTCTCTCTCCTGCTTATTTTTATTGACTAATTTGCTTATCTACAGTGGTTCAATATGGATTACAAGTGCAGGTGGTAAATTAATAGAGTAATGAATTTTAACTCACAATCTTCTTCTCTGTCATTATAGTCAGGCAGTTGTAAACAAACATATTCACTCTGACTGGCCCCGAGTGCCCCTTGACTCGGAAGGGTAAACAGTTTAGATAATATATGTATGTGCGTGTGTGTAGTTGGAGTTGGAGTCGAGCAACATTGTCTTTTTGTGTACCACTGTCAGGTGGTTTTCAGTTTCACCCACTGCCTTGCACAGTCTAAGCTATTCTCTGCTCCAGCACGCCTGATCCAGCTTATCAGGTAATTATTAAGCACTTCATGAGCTGGTTCAGGTATTTTGGGGATAGAGAATACCTGCAGCTGTGCAGAGTATAGTAAAATCTATAGCACAGTTTTCTCTCGGTCATAATGATCTAGCTAGCTAACTAAGTGAAACTGGTAGTACTAAGTGAAATGGGACTACTAAAATGGGACTACAATATGCCAATTTCAGTACCACAGTGGTATCGGAATTGGCATGTATTATTCCCATTTGAGCCACCCAGTAGTCCTGTTAAACTTTTAGAGCAGATGACCAAACCATTCCAGAACTGAAAGTTTATTCAAAGAAACATACATTGTTTACTTAATTGCAGAATTACAAAACATACACATAAAAATGAATAATATTTGTAATAAATATTACAAACCCATTTCCAAAAAAATGGGATGCTGTGCAAAACGTAAATATATATATAATGCAATGATGTGCAAATCATTTAAACCCCATAAACCCTGAAAAAAATGATTTATTTATTTTTACTGTGTTGCATCACCACTTCAGTGATGAGCTAGAACAGAGATTGCGAGCCAATTGTCCCAATACTTTTGTCCAGGTAGTGTATTTTTCAAAAAAGAATAAAATTGTTTAGTTTTAACATTTGATATGTTGTCTTTGCACTATTTTCAATTAAATACAGGCTTTAAATAATTTGCACATCATAATGGCCATAAGTAGCTATGAAGACATTGGTAGTTTCACAGTCTTTTCACAGATCTCCATTCATTAGAGTAAATGTAGAAACAGTGCCATTTTAATAATGCACAGAATATTTGTTATGACGCATATTTTAAGATAATGATATTCTATTTGTTTTCTGTGAGCGCTGTCACTGTATTATGGCCATCTGCAAAGCTCTGCCGTATTTACCTCAACCTGCTGCTTAGCAAACGATGCTGTCCACAATTGCTTAAGGAACGTTATCAGCACCCGCCATGTTTGTAACTAATGTTAGGACACCAAGGTCCTCTGAAGTTTGCAGAAGGGTTTTATGAGATTTAATGTGGAACTACACACTACTCTTCACACACACAGTACAAACTACTCTCAGCTGACCTTAGAGTAGCTGTGGTTCGGCCATAGACGTAACTGCCCGCTCTGTTTATCTCTATGTGAGGCACTACACTGCCGTGAGACCCAGAGTAATTTTGACTTCTTGAGATGTTCAGGTATCTCACACACAGGTATAGTACACATGCTATAGGCTATCATACAACATAGCTATGAGAAAAACTTGGGAGTTTATGAGCGTATTTAACAGATTATGCTTGTAAAATGCAAACCCGTGTCAGGACCAAGGGCTATCCCCTTCACCCCCAGGCCTCCAACACAATATTATTAAAAAAAAACTTTCAATACTGGCTAAACACTTATACTAATAACTGTTTTAAACCTAAGTTCTCAAAAGATGTGAAAAAGGAAAGAGTCTTCAGCCGCTGAGTTGTGGAAAGAGAAAAGGCTTCTTCTTTATTTCGCCATTCAGATGACACACAGGTCTCTGGAGACCGACTGCGCAAATACAGTATTCTGTCAGCCCTTATATACCCTTGCCCGAGGTGTTATGATGTCACCTCAGAACTTGATGTTCCATTAGACCCTATACAAAAACATTCCCATCACTTGGCCTCTCTTAAGTTCACTGCGGACAACACTTCTTTTTTAAAAAAGCTGGTATCAGCCAGTTTGTACCAGTTTATCTGATCCTACAAGGCCCTACTGGACCATATATCATATGGACTCATATGAGGTCACTGAGAGTGCACCTGCAAGTAAGGTCATCAAAGGTCATCTGCTTTGGAAAGCCCCCCAACAGGCAGGCTATGGCCTACTGCATTCTTAGGGCCTCTCAGTGAAACATTAATATTCCCTTTTAGCCAATGCTAAACAATTTGATTTTTGATTCCCCATCACCGCATAATTCATTTTGTATTGGGACTGCTTGTACCACCGTTAGCTAAATTAGCATGCTTTAGTCTGTTTCTTATAGCTGCTCAGTTTAGGCTACAGGCTCTGTAGATGGCTATATTAGCGATTAGATGAGAAATTAAGGTTGTATTGTGTTACCTACTCATGACATACCTCAATGAGCATTAGCAAGTTCACTGTTAACTAGCATATTGAAGGTATAGCATCATGTAGCTGACATTGTTAAGAAGTCAGTAGGTACATTAGGCTGTATTTTGTGTCATTAACTGCATGAGTACTACCTTTCCTGTTGCCTGATTTTGCAAAAGAGATGCAAAAGAGAAAAGCGGAGAGAGAAAGAGAGAGGTAAATGAAATAAAATCCATTTGAAACTAGCCTATCACCTGATTTAGTGTAGGTTTAAACATGTATTTTCAGCTAAAAAAATAAATGTAAATAAATAGTTAAATGGGTAATGAAATAAACAAAGTAACTAAATTCAAATCAGTTTATGGATGAATGAAGGGATGGAGAAGGAACAAATGAAAGGTAAAGGTGCATAACAGTTAGGGATGGTGAAAAGGAACAATGATCTTTCACTTAAAAAAAGGAAGAGAAAAAGAAAAAATGTATTTTGTGTGTCTCCTACCGCAGTTTTTTCCTACTGCAGTGTTTGAATAACACCTAAATGGTAGTCCTGGTGCCGTAACTGGTTTGGGTGTAGTAATTATTTAGTTAAGCAACAAAATTACATTAAAATTCAGTGAACTAAATTGTGGTGCGTCTCTTTGCAGTGAGTGCCATGTGAGTGTGTTATGAGCAGCATATTTCTCAGAGCATGTACAAAATTCTTCCAAAGTGATTAAACACAGTTCTGCTTTGGAGGCCATGTCTCACAGCTTTTCTACTTTTCTCTCTCAGCGCCCAACTCTGCGTTTGGCCATAAAGACACAGCTAATGCACAGCAACACTTCAGCAGCAGCCACGAGCCCTGGAACAGATTGCACCGCACACCACCCTCTTTCCCCACACCCCCACCTTGGCTTAAACCTGGGGATTCGGAGCGCAGCACCTCAGTTAGTTCACATGAGAGAGACAGAGACAGAGACCGGGATAGAGACAGAGATTCAGAAAAGAGGGAATCGTCCATCAGCAAGGACGACAAAGAGCGGTGGGTTACATTAGTACATACATACATGGAAACATACATAAAAACTTGGCAAAACAATAGCTACAGTGGCAAAGTATTTATTAAAACTGTATAGCAGAAGCCTAAATTTAGACAGTCATATCATGCTTTTGAAGTTTTTTTACGTAGAGACACAATTTAAAAGCATAAAGAGAATATGCCCACACAAATTGTGCAGCAACAGATCAGCCTACATCTCCAAGGTATCAACAAGATAGGTGTGTCTAATAAAGTGGACAGTAAGTGGACAGTATTTAAAAATTCCTCAGCAACTGCTGTGTCTGATCCGTTTATACTGGGTTCATCCTGGAAAAGTCAAGGAAAATAAAAAGTAATGGAAAAAGACATGCACTTTCCTGTACTTTCCTCCATTCAGTTCGTCATCTCATCACATTTGAAGCACTGAAAAGCACCAAGATCCGACACTAATGTATCTGCACATGGACTAGCTACTAACTATGTTAGTAATAACATGTTGTTAATATGAATTTCTTGCTAGGTGTAAGGTGTAACATTCAGAGCGTGTGTGTTATGGAAGGTTTGACATTTGAACACTAGAGAAGATGAATTAGCAAGCCAGATGTGTATACCTAACACATCGCAAAAGTCGCATGGGTCCGCACGGCTAAAACGACATCACACACCTATACACGCCCCTGTGCAAAGCTTCGCACGTCGATCACCAGGTCTCTCACACGAATAATTTTCTACGCATCAGTACCAACGCAGACGCCAAACAGGAACATGAAGACTTTTAAAGAGACCATCATCATGCCTCTGATGCAAGTGAATATAAAACGTGTCTTGGATGCGTAAAATACAAACCAGCCTTAAGAGGAAAACCACACTGCTGCAGCTTCTCACACCAGACTTACATGACTAGCACTATGAGTTAAGCTAGATTAGAAGCTGACGCAGCATCAGAACGCAGTCCTCCAGTGTGTATTTCAGTTAGGACGCCACGTTAGCTCTGTCGATCTAGAAACGTGCCTGTATGCAGTGAAAAGACGCATCATCGAGGGTCAGTTCAAACCTTTTTAACTTTTGCTGCAACGCATTCTGACGTGGAGCCATGTCAACCAATAGAAACGTACGGGCAGAAGACCAAGATGGAGGACGGTATCGACGCTATGTACTATTTTTCTGTTCTATGTGACTTCTTTGCCTTTGTGGCTGTTGTCTGCTTGGCTCTGTACATGGCTATTGCCAAAATTTCCTTTCTATGGCCCATATTTCTTTATTTCAGGTCCAAATGTTTTGTTTCCTGCTGTATTTCAAACTCTACAAACTCTGCCCCGCTCCAGCTGTGTACATGCCTTCTAGACAGACAAGATCTGCATGCGTATGCGTCCACCGCTCTGTGTTTGCGTTGTCTAGTATGTAGGCACACTTACACTCGATGGCCCTGCTCGCTGTCGCAGTGCTTGTTTGAGCACCTCCAAATTTTTTAAACTTGGTGCTCATGCGCGCAACAATTCATTCAAATTTAATGAATTTGAAAGAAAATGTGTCAAGCAGGTTCACTTTTACAGGCGCTTTATCATAGTATATCATAGAGAAAAGTGACTCTCATTACATGACTCTCCTAAATACTGAAGAAACTTCGGTAACCTAATAAATACATTACCTCCCCACAACATGTAAAACTAATCCCTCCTAAAGTGAACTTCAGCTAGATAACTCATTTTGCTGGAAAAATAAATATGTTATTGTTTCGTGCAAAATGTAAAGAAATGGAGAACAGTGTCCACCTAATCAAAATATGCATGCATGCGCAGCATGTCTATGTTATGTGTTAAGACAAATCACTAAACCACTCATTTAAAAGCAAAACTGATGGATGTGTTTGCATATGAGAGTACGACATCAAGGACTGCATGCCATGAGTAAACTGCACGAAATTAAATGGTCCTCATCTATCAAATGTATCACTAAAAAGATCACTAAAACTGGAAATGGTATATCAATATCACCAGTACAGATGATATACTGCCAAGCACTATGCTAAATGTTTGGTGTGGAAATTTTATGTCATGGAATTCCACTGTTTAAAAAGTGCTTAAAATAGTCTAACACACATTAACATACCACTGCAATATTAGTGTCAGTGCTTTGCTAAAAATGCTGAATACTGAATATGCTGTCCTAAATGTACAATATATAAAAAGTAACATATTCAGAATATTGACCTGGGAATTTAACAGCAATTAAATGGGTAGGAGGTTACCTGCACGAGACGGAAATTATCAGTAGGGCTGATGCGTAAACAAAAGCCAATACATTACTGGGAAATACAAACAATTCTATATTACAACTGGCAGATCTGAACATTCTGTGATTTTTTTTAACCATTTAATGTTTATAGTTTAGCTTTGCGAATGAAAACATCACAGGAGTGTATTGTGTACGTAATAATAGATAGAAGCGTCAAAAATCTGCCCCGCGAGTGCGCATGGTTGCCATTTTTACAAGAGTGTATTTTTGTACATGATTCAGAAATTAAGAAGTTGTTGGCTAATTGTACTGAGAATATCACCTCCTGTTTACTGGGATTTTCATGGCATGTCTTGCATCCCAGTAAAATACATTTTAAGGGCATATGTGAATGAGCAATGCCTGAACATTACTGCCAAATAGTCCCCCTGTGAATAGGGCTATAAGAATTTTTACACAGCCTAGAAATACACATTTCACTGATCTGTGTAATAACCCTATACCCATAAAACTGGGTCAGTATGTCAAATGTCAATAAAAAACGGAAAACAGGGATCAGTAAATTCTGTTTGACCTGTATTAAATTGAAAACAGTACAAAAGATAATATTTGATGGCTGATGAACATCATTGTGAATATATGCTAATTGCAAATATGTTGCAACACAGTCCAAAAATATTTGGACAGGAGCATGTTTACCACTGTGTTTCAAACAGCTTTCCTTTAACAGCACTTAATAAACATTTGGGGACTGAAGACACTAAGATATCCAATTTTGAAAGTGCAATTTTATTATTAAAGTCAACCTTCATTGTCATATTTTGCACTTTGTAATGTGCCGCTGATTTTCAATAGGAACAGAGATGCCATTCCACCACCTGCACTCTCTGATTACACAGCCATGCTGTTGTACCACATGCAGAAGGTTTCTTGCCGTTGTCATGTTGTAATAAGCATGGACGTCCCTGAAAAAAAGCCACCATCTGAAATGCAGCATATTATGCCTCCATTTCTACACTGTGGTGGACATTTAACCCCAACAACTAAACCCACATGCTGATACAAATAACACACAAACACATCTTAACTAAAGAACAACAACATTAACAACACAAAAGTCCGCTTTTTCGGGGGGTACATGCCTCCCATAAGCCTCTTCTCATCGCATGGCCATGCCTCCCAAGCTTCTCACTACTTCTCAGTAGTGGGACATTACAAAATGTTGCTCCAAAATGCATACATGTCTTTCAGCTTTAATGGTACTTTCACAGATGTGCAAATTATGCATGTCACGGGCAATAATACACTCCCATTACGTTACGTCCTCTTGTAGTTTGCGTTAAAATAATGTCCCAATAGATATGATCATGTCTCACTACAGAACAAGACTAATTCTGCGCTCTAAAAAATGATGTGTGAAGTAACACAGGTACTTGTGTTGCCAGTTTTAACACATTTTGTGTCATATCATTTTCTGATTTAACACAATTTGTGTTAGTAGTAACTGGGCACAGAAATATCTTGATATTTTGTATTAAAAGTAGCACACAATGTGTTGTCACAAAGTTTGACTAGTAATCTAATGTGCTTAGAATTTTATCCCACCTACACAATTCAGATTTGAGGCTGAAAAAGCCAATATAAAAAATCATTACTCCTAAAATTTATTTTGTCTTGTAATCTTAGGTAATCCACATCACAAACCCAACCTGTCAGTAACTTTCACCATATTCAAGTAAAGATCAGCAAATGAATCAGGAACAAAACTCAGTTGTTTGAACAGACTTTAATTACTTACTTTTGTTCTGTTTAAGTTGTTCCTACACTTGATGCAAATGAGATATATGCTTTTCTTTCTTCTCATGACAGGGATACTGTGGAGAAACGGCAACCAAACCAACCATCTCCAGTCACTGTCAATCCCCTTACTTTGCTGAGCCACATCCGGTCATCCGACCCCACCAGGAACCAGCTTGCCATCAGTGAGCCACGAGACAAAGAGAAACACAAAGAGCGAGAGAGAGAGCACTCAGACTGGAAAGACTCCAGTGCAGATGAGCACAAGCTCAAGGAGAATCACCATGGTGGCAAAGACACACCCATCATTAATGATGGGCGGATGTCCGAAGACAAGCCACCTAATCAGCTGACGGCATCTCCATATATCCGACCACCAACTGGCCTGGATAGAGTGAATGGTGGGCTCAATCGGGAAGTTGTGGAGAAGATAGGTGACCTCACATATGAGAAGAAGAACAGTGAGGTCAAAGTCAAGGAGGAGAGAAAGGAGGAGCAGGATAGAGCTACAGACAGATCCCCAGAACAAAGATCCAGCCCTCAGGCTCCTTCAGCCCCCAGCAACTTCCATCCTCCCTCCTCCTTGGCTGTGCCCATGGGCATGGCCAGCATGAACAGCATTAGCAACCTGGAAAGGACTCGAATGGTCGCCCCCTTCATGGGCATCAGCCCAATCCCAGGTACAGAGAGGTTTCCTTATCCTGCTTTCCACTGGGACCCAATGCGGGATCCCTACAGAGGGCTGGACATCCACAGAAGGGACCCATTGGCCCGGGACATGCTCTTGAGGAACGACCCTCTGCACCGACTAGCTGCGCCAAGGCTCTATGAAACTGAACGTTCATATCGGGACCGTGAGTCACATGATTTCAATCGTGAAATTCCACATGGGCTGAGCCTGGAGCAACGGCGTGAGCAAGAGAGGGCCCATCTGGAGGAACGTGAGCGATTGCACGTGCTAAGAGAAGATTATGAGCATGGACGACTGCACTCCATGCACCATCCTGCACTAGATGGACACCTTCCTCACCCTAGCCTTATGGCCCCAGGGCTACCAAGCATGCATTACCCTCGCGTCAGCCCCTCCACATCCATTGTCACTGCAGCTGCTGCCCATCAAAATGGAATTCTTAACAAAACACCACCCACAGCATCACTGAGTGCCCCACCCCCTCTCATTCCAACCCTGGGCACAAGGTCGGGCTCTCCCCGACGGACCACACCCCTAAGTTCAGACATTAGAGACAGACCACCATCACATACCCACAAAGACATTGAGGCCCGGTGAGGACACACACAGACATAGAAATGTCCATGATTTGTGCTATTAAACTAACATGAACCAAGAATCTGGTATTGGGCAGAGAAGAGTGTACTGTAGATATGTATGGAATGTTATTTGCTGTTTGTACAAAAACAACTGAAAATGAGCTGAACAAAAATGGAGACTGTAAAGGACCCTTTGTTCAATTTGCTCCTGTTTTGTGAGTGTAGGCTACTCTATATTTTGAATGGTCTGATCAAGTATGAAAATCTCAAATCCGAACATAGCTCATTTTTGGAATGTGCAGGTACATTCAAGGCATTGAAACATTGAAAAATGTACATATATGTGTACAGTGAATGTGCTGACTCATTAAGGGTAAAATCGAGGTACAAATATGCAAATGGTTGTCATGAAAGCTTTACTTTGAACAGTTGTACATAATAAATGGACAAAACTGAGAATGCTTTTTTTGCAGAATAATTTAGCGCCATGCTGCAGTCAGACTATTTTGTTAAGGTTCACATTTTCCTGGAGACTGTCCTTTTACCCTTTTAACTATGCAACTTATGAGTTGACTCTCTCAGTCCCTTTGCGTGCATGCGTGCGTGTGTGGTGCATGCATGTCTCTGAGGGCCAGCATTCTCCCCTTCTCATTCTCAAAGCTATATTCTCTCCACAACTTAAACCACAGCGCAAAGCAATTACAAACTGAGGAATTTCTGTTAGAGAATCTCCATTCCAAATTTGATTATATATATCGTCACTCAAAAAGAAGTGATCTCATGCATGTGTTACACGCCAATTTTGTAGGTCCTTAAGAATCTTGACACATACAAAATGTTTAAAATGCTTATAAAATACTCATAAAAATACACTGTGAAAAAGAATTGCTCGAAGGATTTTGCAGTGATCATACCAGAAAAAGACCTGACGTCTCTGTGTGGTATCCTGCATTGCCTAGTTGTAATGTGTTCCGTTGTGAACACATTAAAATCAGGCTAAGCATCTGTGTATGCTTACATGCATGTGTGCAGTTGTTTTTGACTACCACTTTTCCAGTCTCCAGTTGGCTCAATGCTACTCGCCTTTTTTGGTTTTCCATTAGGCTGGTCAGAGCAAATCACTAAACACATAAGTTAACGCTAGCTGCCAGGTTAGTGTACACTTTTGAGTTGCCTTTGAGACACCAGATACGTCTCGTTCCCAGCCTTTCTTGTTTTTATCAGCAGTCTTTTGCCTTGCTGCCATCAGCCTCTTCTGAACAAAAGTTATCTCCCTTACGTCACAACGTAAGTTTCATGCAGCTACATCGAGGGTACGATACTTCAGTGGAAAACAAAGTAGCTGGTGCCAAAAGCGAATAGAATCGAGTCAAGCCATACCAAGCTGTAAAGCAGCTTTAGATCTAATGTGGTACTGTAAAAAGGAAGTTTTTAGTTAGTAATTAATGTTGAAGATTTACTTCAACATTAACTAAAGACACCTTGGTGTGCTCAGTTGTTTACTCAGTTGGGACTTACATGAACCCATGGTGACAATCTTGTAAACACTGACCTTTGAGCTTTTCAATGAAGATCAATTGGTTATTATTATTGTTGTTAATATTATCATTATTATTTTAAAGGACAGCATAACAGTGAGAGTACTGGTGGGAATACAGCAGAACCAAGGCAATTTCATCATGGCGAGTGTAAACTTTGTGTAATGGACAAGAATTGCAGTTCCCCTTGAAAATTGCATCAAAAGTGCTATATTAAGTTATGTACAAAATGAAAAGGACAAAAAGCAAGTCTTAAACTACAGACCTTTTGTTTTTAATGAGCAGAGATCTATTTTAGTAGCCTACTGATGGTTTAGATGTGTGCTTTAAAACTGTAAATTTCAGATGTTGTGCAGTGTTTTTGTTTTGTTTGTCTTTTCTAAATCAAGCATTAAAAATGTCCACTGAATATGTAGCGGGTAGACAACATGTATTACCAAGAGATGGTTAAAAACTTTTTTTGCTGTTTAACATGGATGTAAAAACCGAAGCCCTTTTTAGATCATGTACAAAGGAAGAAAAAAGGCAAAGCAACTGAATTTTCAGCATGCTCCTCAGTTAAACTTGTGTTATGTAAATTGTGCCATGTTAATAAAAAAATGTGAATTTTCTTTGCCTGTTGTGTGTTCACAACAATTGTTACAGCACCATCCAACATCTGACAGGGAATCAAACCCACGACCTTAATCTTCAAAAGCGGATGTCTTCATGGCAAGCCACAAGAGGCCCACAGTGGACCTGTTTTTTGAGACAATTTATTGGTATGGAGCAATAAGGAACCATACACCATTTTGGGAATTAGTTCCCACCTTTCAATTACTGTGACTATTGAGTAGTATAATTCCAAATAAAATCATAATACACTGTCAGTTACGTATTTGTGTCAAATTTGGTTATAATCAGACAATTATTGATGTATTTTTAGCCTTTTATAGCAGAATAAACCAATTCACACCAATTAATTCAAATCTTCAGCCACACTGTGCTTAAAAGGCATGATATTTTTAATAATTTAGATTGTTTTAAGAAAAATGAAATTAGATTTCAACTCAAGAATTAGTAAGGAAATGTTTTTTTAAAAGACTTGTATTTGCAAAATTGTCAGGCACGCACAGAAAAGCATCAAATACAGAAATGGTCTTGACCGAAAGACATACAGTAACACTTTCCACTAATTGTATATTTTTTATTAATTAGTTCAACATTGGCATTTGCAGTTACTGATTTGGCTCCCTCTGGTGGCCAGAGAAATAAAAAACATCTCTTGTGCAAATTAAAATTTGTTGAAATCAAATTATTTGATTTCCTGCATAATTAAGCAACCTACACATATTTGGAAAGTGTTAATTCTCATTAAGATGCATAATTTGAAACAATAGTCATGTCTTTATTTTAATCTTAGACAGGAATAATTACATTTTAGATTGTTGGCAGTACATTGAGCATTGTAAGAGCCAACTTAAGCCAATTCAAGTGTAATATCATATGTTTCCTCAGCTGATTATTGTCAAAGTATGTATCAATTTTGGTCACAATCAGAGCATTTGATTTCCGAATAGGCTGGACCGCACTGATTGATCCATAACTTGCAATAAAATTGTGCTTAAAAGGCAAGATTTTTAAAATAAGTGTTGATCTTGAGACTTTGACGGTTGTTTTGAGACCAAGTTTTTTAATAAATATAATTGCAATGTTTGAGATGTTAATGAGATGTGTAATTTGAAACCATTATCTTTTCTTTATTTCAATCATAGAAAAATATAATAACATTTTGATAATTATGCATTAGATTAAGTATTGTAGGGGCTTATGACAATCAATGTAAATGAAACTTTGCATGTTTCCTCAGAAAATAGGAATGTACATGTTTACCAAGATTTATCACAATCACATAAAAACTAAAGAAGCTATAGCCCTCTAAGTCAGAAAAGCCCAGGCTGAATAGATTTGTGTCTAATGGCCATTCTTTGCAATAAAGTCAAGGTTTTTTGGTAATTATTTACCTACAGACTCCACAGATTGTTTTAAGACCAACTTTGAAACAATTGTCTTAAAATCCACAGACTAGTTCGAAAAGCTCAAGTTTCAAACATTGATCAATCAAAGAAAAACTTTATACAATTTTAAAAGACTTGTATTTGATCAAGTATCATTCTCAGTGTGAGCAATGTTATGTATTGATTTATTTTGATCTATGATAAAATTTATAGGACTTATTCTTGTTTATGCTCTATAGCGCCACTTCATGGCCAATTGAGGTCAAACTTCATAGGCTATTAGAGATTGCATATGTGGACACATGATATAATTTTTGTGAGGATTGACTAATGCTAAGCCCTCCAAATGTCTGTTGAAAGCTTATTGGCCAATGGCGGCCATATTTGTCCAATTATTCAGTTGTCCTTAAAAGTCCATGTAATTATTAGGCCATAGATACAGCATGCAAAGTTTGAGCTCAATTGGCAAAGCGGTTGCTGAGAAACAGATTTCAGACATGCCAATGTGACAGCTATATTGTTTACAAATATTCATTTTTTTTGATAATTCTTGACCTCCAGACTACCCTGAACATTTTGAGACCAATATTGTGTTGATATCTTGATAAACCTCAGACTAGTAGGAAAAAGATGTCACATATTTTGCCAATTATGATGATAAATCTGGGGGCGGAGCTAAAGACATGCAGTGGAGCGTTTATGTAGAATAAAGCAAGGATTATGTAGAAGCAAGAGTTTTTTTTTGAGTGTACCCACCATGGTTCAGGAGATATGGGCAAAAAACATAAAATGTTGCTCTATAGCGCCACCATCCAGTGTTGCTCTATAGCGCCAGCTGGGGTCATTTCAGTTGCCTGAGTAGTGGGGGGGGGGGTTCTACACCTACCTTCCAAGTTTGGTCTTTGTATGACTTACGGTGTTTTCTCCACAAACCATTTTAGGGCAGAAAAAGAATAAGAAGACGAAGAAGAAAATATAGCCGCAAAGCAGCAATCTGCGGGTTCCAAGCACCAGGAAGACATTGAGGAGTAAAGTAGTGGCCCCTGGTCGTAAAAGGCAGCAGATCTTTAAGAAAGATCTCCTTTCCTATGATTAAGCCCACTACAATCTGTGCAACTCATTTTAACATCCACGACAGGGATTCAAACCCACAAGCTTAGAGTTCAAAGGCAGTGGCTCTAACGTTGAGCCACAAGACATCTGCAGCAAAATTGCAGTTTTTGAAACCATTTATTGAAAGGAAGCAACAAGGAACCATGCACCATTTTAGGACAAATTAGCAGCATAAATAAATTTTATGTCTCTGGACATAGAAGGCAGCAAATTGTTGAATTTTTAAGAAAGATCCTTCATTAAGTGTGTGTTCACAACAATCGCTACAGCACCATTTAACATCTGTGACGGAGAATCAAACCCACAATCTTAATCGGCGGATGTTTTCATGGCGACCTACAAGAGGCCCACAGCAGACCTGTTTTTTTGAGATAATTTATCTGTACGGAGCAATAAGGAACCAAGCACCATTTTGGGAACTAGTTTCCACCTTGCAATTACTTTGACTATTGAGGAGTATAATTCCAAATGAAATCATAATACACAGTCAGTTTGTCATTTTGTATATTTGTGTCAATTTTCGTTATATTCAGACAATTATTGGTGTATTATTAGCCTTTTATGGCAGAATAAGCCAACTCACATAATTTTTTTCAAATTTTCAGCATCACTGTGCTTAAAAGTTGATATGATTGTTTTAAGAAACAGTTTTTCAACTGTGATATTACTGAATTCTGATATTACTGAAAAAACAAAGTTTTATAACACTGCAAAATTGTTAGGCTTAGTGGAAAACATAACATTCAAAAATGCTCTTCGCTTAAAGACATACAGTAAAGCTTTCCATGTATATGTCAACAAAGACATATACTGATTTATGCTCCCTCTGGTGGCCAGAGAAAAACTGTTGCTCTGAACAAAATTTGCTGAAATCAAATAATAGGATTTCCTGTACAGTACAACCTACACATATTTGCAAAGTGACTATTCTCATTAAGATGCATAATTTGAAACAATTGTCATGTTTTTATTGTTTTTATTCTTAGACAGGAATAATTACATTTTAGAAGAACAATAGAGTTTTTTAAAAGACTTGTATTCGCAAAATTGTCAGGCACGGTGGAAAGCGTAAAATACAGAAATGGTCTTGACCTAAAGACATACAGTAAAGCTTTCCACTAATTGTGTAATTTTTATTAATTAGTTCAACATTGACACTTGCAGTTACTGATTTGGCTCCCTCTGGTGGCCAGAGAAATGTAAAACACCTCTTGTGCTAATTAAAATTTGTTGAAATGAAATTATATGATTTCCTGTACAGTTAAGCAACCTACACATATTTGCAAATTGTTAATTCTTATTAAGATGCATCATTTGAAAAAATAGTCATGTCTTTATTTTAATTTTAGACAGGAATAATTACATTTTAGATTGTTAGCAGTACATTGAGCATTGTAAGAGCCAACTTAAGCCAATTCATATGTTTCCTCAGCTGATGACTGTCAAAGTATGTATCAATTTTGGTCACAATCAGAGCATAAGTGACAGATTTGTAGTCCCTTGTTTCTGAATAGGCTGGATCAAACTGATTTTTCCACAACTTGCAATAATATTGTGCTTAAAAAGCAAGATTTTAGATAATTATTGATCTTGAGACATTGATGGCAGCAGAACCTGTATATCATTCAGCATTAATGGTGCCTTCACAGATGTGCATGTCACCCATACCATGTGCACTAATGCACTCCTATACTGTCATGAATACTGGCTTTTGAACTGTGCACTGATAACAAGCTGAGTGGTCTTTAGCCCAGAGGACACAGTGTCCATGATTTTGAAAAAGAATTTCAAATGTTGATTTGTCAGTCCACAGGACACTTCTCCCCTTCCCCTCAGTCAATTTTAAATGAGCCCGGGCCCAGAGAAGGTGGTAGCGTTTCTGGATCCTGTTTATATATGGTTTCTTCTTTGCATTTTAGAGTTTTAACTTGCATTTGTGGATGCAGCGATGAACTAAATAGTGGGCCCAGATCTTTGGCTCGAAGCTCAGATTAAACGTTTTTTTAAGCCTAAAAGTCTGGGTCCACAGCACAGAACACAAGGCTGTGGTCCGTAGCGCACTAACAATAAACCAAACCTTAAGACAAAATGAAATGAAAGACCTAACACCCAGGCATGAGCCAGCATGAGCCAGCCATTTGGACTCTAAAGAATAAAATTTGGAATAGGAGCTCAGAAGGCCAGGTCCCAGCATAATATCAACAAAACAAAATCCACTGGAATAAGGCCAAGACCCAACCTTTTAGAACAGGAACTATAATACTTGTAAAGTATAAATTGTGGAATGGAGGCTCTGAGGCCTAGGCCCAGTGTCCTCTCACTAACATAAATCACCTTAGAATGTAGCAAATAATTTTTTGGGGGAGTTCGAAGGCCCAGGCCCAGGCCAAGGGATCCCTGCCAAATTGCGCAGAAATAATGAAATCTGGCTCATGATTCTGACGCAAAGTCCAATGGCATGGGAACTAAAACCAACACTTAAGGATAGAGAATGTAATAA